TTTTATATTAATATCATTATTACAATGTACCTACCAGTTGGTGTATTAGGTGGAGTAGGTGATGGTGTAGTTGTTCCAGTGCTTAATGTATCAGTGCTCATATCATCATCAGGAATAACAACTTTAATAACCTTCTTATTATCATTGAAGGATTGGTCTATAAAAACAAATTATGAGCATCATTTAGGTATTATGTGAAATGTAATAGGCTCACCATAGTCTCTTTGTATAACTGTTCCTAGTTTTACATTACCAGTGAACTTGCACAACACACTAGCAAATGTTTGTAGTAAACTATACTTGCTTTCAATAGCTACTATAATGGCAGCTAACAGGACTTCACGTTGATTAGGAACAGAGGGACTAGCTGAAGCTACACTAGCCAATACTTGTCCTGTTATGACACCCTCTCTTTGAAGCATAATAGCTACACTGACAGGATCAGAGAGAGACTGAGAGAGGAGTGGATGATGAGTGTTAAATATATCAATAGCCTTAGCTTTACTTTCTATAGAATACACACACAGTCAATACTAATACAATCAGTGATATTAACTTACTCTCTTGATCTAACTTGTCAGCTGCAGCATTCTCATTCATAGATTTAAGAGCATCTGACAGTGAGTCAAAGGTAGCTCCTCCTTTACTGTCAACATTATCAGCTCTACGCAACCACTTGGAGAGGCATTCAAGCAAGCATCTTGATATATCACCAGGATGATTCTTTTCAATAGCGTCTAGTAAGTCCTTATGAAGTCCTAGTGTCAGTCCCAGCTCATGCCATCTTGTCTGAGGGAAACCACATCTCTTTAACAGATTAAGTACATCAATAAGTTGATCTAAAATCATATTCAATGATACATAGATAATTAATGAACATTACCAATAGTCAAAGGAGAAGAGAAGAGACTCAGAGAAGAGGAACAAGAACTGGTTTTAGTTGCCATTGATCAAAGAACAAGCTAACCGGATGCAAACTTTGCAAAGGAATGACAAGGGAGGGGCTGGTTTTGGGTGGGGCATTAGATCTAATTGTTATTTTAACCCTAAATATGGCGGCATTGGAACAGAGTAACAGACAGATCATGATGGACTTTTCATATACAGGGAACAAAGAAAGTTGATGACGAAAATGATGGAGTTACTAATGACAGCAAAATAAGAGCTGAGGTAGTTTAAATGTACCTGTACATGTATACTAGTACATGAATTTTAGTCAAATTGTGAAATACATGTACGATATGTCTTGTACCCGTACCTGTAGCTTTGGCGGCTGCAGAAGTTCAACTCAGCCTAGGCATTTCTAATTAAAGGGGTGTGGTAAAAGGGTTAAATAGCATTGTTCCTACTTCCGGTCTAATTTTTTAACCTAGGCAATGACCCCCAATGCCTAGGCCTGCAGCCGCCTATGACCTGTAGGGGCCCCATCAAAGTTTTTGTCCTGGACCCCACATAGCCTATTGGCAGCCCTCCCTGTAACAATAAACTATGGACTATTGTCCATGCTTTTTTGTCCAAAAAATGGCTGCAAAATCATTCCCAATTTTTTTACATTAAATAGTTGAAACCCATTCTGTCTAAAATTTTTGAGTCATGTCCATTTAAACAAATGAACCAATTAATATTATTACATCTCATTGTTTTTATTGTATTTAGGAGTTTAACGAGAGCTTTGCTGATAAACATTGAATTATGAAATGAACATCAAAAGTAAATATACATATGTACATGTACATATAATCCTTTATCTCCATGTCTCTCACTATTTAGAGTGTTGATAGAAAATATGTGTTTCATTTACCATTTTCTGTTCACTCTTTCTCTTTCACTCTCTTGAACTTCTCTCCTCCTCTCTCTCCCTCCCTCCCCTCCCTCTCCCCCCTCAGTTTGAGCAGGAGTTAGAATCCTTACAAGAGGCCCACAGGTCAATAGTGGCTAGTACTGCAAGGAAAGGGAAACTGGAATCGATAATCAAGCTCTCTCCCTCCCTCCTAGCCTCCATAGCTAAAGTCTCATGCCAACTATGTAATGGGCTGGACTTATGTACTGAGCTCATGCACTCTCCAGGCCAGTCTGGCTGGGACAGGGAGCTCTACACAAACCTGCTTACTTTGGGAATGGCTTCAATTCTCAATGAGGCTCCTTGTTTGGTCCCTCAAGTCTGGGCTATCTACCTCTGGCAACCTGGGATCCTTTTTTTAGCTCTCTCCCGGACAGAGAATTAGCAGGTTCTTAAGGAGGGGGATCATTTTAGGATTCAGAATAGGAGCTCCTCCCTATGAATTCCCTATCAATTCCACCTGATCTTGAACAGTTGAGTGGATAGCTTCCATCAAAGCCTCTATTGTTAAGGTGGCCGAAACACCAGCAGAAGTACTCGTTGATGTTGTGGACGAGGAGTTTGATGAAGAATTCTCAATACGAAGGTACTAATAATGTGTACATGTACATGTAGTCCAGCCTGTCTGGAGGTGTGTGCGTATGGGTAATGTAATACCTGAGGCTTTTTAGGGCTGTAAATTTTGTGTGGATTTCACAATTTTTTGAAGATTCGTGAGAATTACTTCACAAAAATCAAATTATTACAGTACAAGATGGCAGACGGCATAAATTCGCGAAAATTAAATCCACAAAGTTGATTTTTAGGCAAATTTGCAATATTTAGGGCCCTCATGTAGACGACTATAATACATGTATATGTATGGGTATACATTATTATCTTAATTTCTCTTCCCTTTAGTTCAAATAGCAACTGTTAAAAGAAATGCCAGTCTAAAGAACACTAAACCAGTAAGTAACCTAATCTCATTCACAATACTAACCATCACAACACTGGTATTAACATGTATAGTACCCATTACATTACTCCTCATATTAATTAATGTAATTGTATCAAAGTTACTGACAGGTGTCATGGATAATGTCATTTTAATTATCGATAATTTTTTTTTGTTTTTGTTGCTGTTATTTATTTATTTTATTTATTGATTTATTAATTAATTTAGGATAATGTAATGAGGAAGGAGATTGCAAGGAAGGATAGTATCATAGCAAGACTAATAAAACAAAGTAATTATAATAATTAATGGAGGAAATAACCATACCACTTCCTCATTCTCACTCTCGTCCCTCCCTCCCTCTCTCTCTCCCTCTCTCCCTCCCTCTCCCCAGATCAAGATGGTGTCCTCATGAGGGAGAGGTTAGAGAAGGATCTTCACCACATGAGACACACTGCAGTACCAGCAGCTCCTACTAGTGACGAGGAGGAGGAGGAGGAGGAGAATGAAAGAGTTACTAATGACAGCAAAATAACAGACGAGGTACATGTAGTTTAAATGTACATGTACATACACAATGTACTTGGACATGAATTTTACTATATTTAGTAAAATTGTGAATTACTGAATTTTGTGATCGTTAAGTATCAGCGTAATACACGTACATGTACATTGTACATATAGGTACAGTCAAACCTCTCTAAAACGAACCCCCAATTAGCGGACACCTCTCTATAACATACAGTTGCTCTTGTCCCGGCCATAAGGCCATTGGGTAGTGTATAAAAGAACCTCTGTATAGCGGAACCTCTCTATTCTGTATAACGGACGAAATTTACTGTCCCCACACATCTACACGTGTACAAATTAACCTCCAATGGACGGACATGGCCCACGCAACGGACTTTCTAAATAACGCACATCAAGAAAATGGCTGATTTTCTGGTCTGATCAGCATGAGATAACCTCCGATTTAAGAACACCTCCATAAAAGGG